GAGAGAGTCTTTTTTGAGACAGGATCTCCAAGTTGCCCTGGAACTCACTATGTAGACCAGGCTGGCCTCAAACTCACAGAAATCTGTCTGACTCTGTCTCCTGAGTGCTGGGCTTAAAGGTGTGCACTATCAGCCTGGCTACTGAAACATGCATATCTAAGGATTCAAACTACCATCAATTTATGAGAGAGTACATGTAACATTTATCTTTCTGATCCTGAGTTACCTTACTCAGAATGATTGTTTCCAGTTATTAAGCTGGTACTGACTTTAAAGCTTCATGTCTAATGGCTAGTTTTCATAATTCTGAAAGGCTCTATGCATGTTAATGGAAGAGAAAAATAATCATCAGTCTTTCCCAGCAATGAATCCTGTGAGCTACAACAAAAGGTGGCCTGGCAAGATATGACTGCTGGTACAATAGTGGCATGAATGTTATAGGAGGACCAACCTCTTTATGATTGGATTTGAAGTCCTTTTCATAAAATGGAATGCATACATAATACTGATACAGGCCTAGGAATCTGTGGCTTGAAAAGTCACAGGCCATAGAAGAGAGTCTACCATAATTATTTTGCTAAGGGGGCCTAGTATTAAATTGAGTCCTAATGATTTACTGCTATACTCATAGGTTAATGCTCTCAACTCACACCAGAGAAATTTCTTCATGCAGCAGATGGTGATTAACACAGATTCACAACTGGCCAACGTGTAGAGAATAAGAGACTGCAGAGTGCTTATCCCTGAATAGGACACCTATATCAAAACACTGCTTCCCAAGGCTCAGAGACACTTGATGAAAAAGGGTTGGAAAGATTATAAGAGGCAGAGGTGGTAGCTGACCACAAGAAAACAGTTTTCTGGACAGATGGCAGTTGCTTATATGAAATCACATCAATGGTGTCAGCCTGCACAAAACTCATATAAACTCAAGCTAGACAGAATCCCAGAATCCCAAACCATAGCTGAGGAACTATTGGCAACTCGTGACTTTTGGGAGGGAGAATCAGGTCTTCAAGGATGTCATGCTGGATAGGTTGGCCAGGCTCCAGCAGATAGAACCACACCAAAGGGCATTTGAGGAACACAGGTTTAACTTGATAGGCCTTTATACATGCACACACACATATATAAAACAGAGTACATGAAATTAGACAGAGGTAAGCAGTCTGAATAGGATCAAAACATACTGTATGAAATATGTATAAATTTAATAAAAATGAAAAAGCAAGAAACAGTATAGGAGGATTTTAAAAAAAGATAAGAAGCATAAGAAAAAGGGTTGTTGAGATGATTCTGTAGAAGAGAGCAATTTCTCTGCAAACATGAGGATCTGATTTCGAATTCCTAGTGGTCACATAAAAAATCTAGGCATGACTGCATAGCTTTAACACCAGCATTATTAAGTAGAGACAGGTGAATCCCAGGAGCTTGCTATCCCAACAGCTTAGCAGAAACAGCAAGCTTTCAGTTCAGTGAGAGACCCTGTCTCAAGGAAATTAAGGAGAAGAGCTGACAGAAGACATTTGACATCCTTCTCTGGACTCTGAATTCACATACATGCCCAACATAAACATGCACACTCATGTACATGCACCACATACATATACATCATACCCATACATACATACATACATACAAAATAAAACATAAGAATGAACATAAAATAGAAATTTTTGTTATGCATATTTTACCAATAAAAATTTAATGATTGTATAAATGTATGTACTAAAGAAACTGACTATAAGAGATAAAGTATAGTGGTCATTGGAGGTCATCAGATAAGTTATGAGGAACCAACATATTTGACATAATTGAATAACAATCAGGCCAGTTTCCTGAGGGGGCTCAGGAAATAATGAGGAAGAGGGAGCAGAAACAATGTAAGGGCCAGATAATAGAGAGAGGGCTATGAATTTCTGTCTTATGGGCATGGGGGAGGAGATAAGATGCAGGGGGAGAGTCAGTCAAAACTAAGGATGTATGAAAAAGGGACATGGAAACTTAGTACTTTATAAGCTAATTAAAATTATAATTAAAAAGACTTTGAATGGAGGTGCCGTCATGGGTGGATAATATTGATCTCAGAAGTCATTAATTAAATAATAAATTTCATTATTAAATGAAAATACCTGCGCTAGGACAGGACATTTCCCTAAGAGTTGTTTGTTAGGAAGGCTCTAGAGACCCCCAAAACTATACAGGTTATGGCTATTGCCACTGGTTGCCAACTGGTAATGAATTATAAGACCCTATTCTGAAGACACTAAATACCTGGATTGCACAACACAGGGAAATCATGCCAGAACTAAGTTGGAATCATCGTCTGTAATGCTGGAAGTTGCTATGCAGGCATCTGGGGGAGAAAAGTTAGCATCAGTCTTCCCCAACTTTAGACCTTGAATGTTGCAATACCAAACTGCCAAGCAAGATGTGCTTCTTGTGCAATAGTTACATGACTGTTATGGGGATGGGGGTAGTCAAATGATTTGATTGGATACGAAACCCACTACATAGGAGAGAATTTATGTTCAGTGCTATGGACTAGGTCAAAGAACCATGACTATGAAGGTCATAGGTACTTAGCATGACCCTATTACTGTTGTTTTGCTAAATGGATGTGTCAAATTGCCTTTTAAATATTTATACAATTGATTAATGCTGTACTCAGACGTTCCTCTTTGCAGTGAATGGCAATTAATCTAGAGACTCATGGCTAGTCAAGGTGCTGAGAACAAGTGACTGTTGATTGCTTAACATTAAACAGGCTATCGACATCACCCCCCACCCAAGGCTCAAGAAGCATTGCAGAAGAGGCTGTAAAAATAATGTAAGAGCCAAATGATAGGGAAGAAGGCAGTGAAACACTGTGTTATAGGCAGGACATGATTCTGGCACTCATGAATTCAATAACAGGTTGCCTAAATAGGACTAGGCCAGTAAACATTCAGTCATTGATAGGGAGGCAACTCATCAGGCCCAACCCTACTCAGGGATGCTAATGACCAGTCAAAAGCTGAT